AGGGGGGTTGGACTGGGTGATCCACAGAGGTCCCTTCCAACCCCTACCGTTCTGTGATTCTGTGACACCCAGTTTCCATTAGAATTAATACTACTCTAATACACACTGTGTCCAGGTGCACTAGGTTTTTTCGGAAGTCTAAAAAGAAGTACAGAAAATGGGAGCAAAATGGTGCGGGAAAAGAGCAGGTAGAGCCTGAGAGCTTTCTTTTCATGAGTTTAGCACAAACATCACACACCTGTACCACGCTCCAATATATGTATGGCACCACAGCGGGATGCAGAGCACACACAGTCCAACAGGACATGCAAGATCTTAACTGCCACGTCAGGAAAAACATAACATTGCACACAAAAACAAGCGGCAGCTCTAAGAGATTTTCCCACATGTGCCCTTCGTGCTTTGCCAGTGCAAGAAATGCAGTTTCTACCCATCTGCTGGGTCACAAGAGCCCATCAACAGGACAGATTTAAGCGTTAATGACATGGGATGTCCTGGTGCTGCTTCTGGCTTACGTCTTTTTGTATTAATATTTTATATTAAAAAAAAAATCACAGAGAATAATAACTAAGGCAAACATGATGGATTAAAAGGACAATATGTATTTTTAAACAGCATTGCCACTGAAGATTAATTTCAATCAACCAAATTTGTTAAATAATACAAAGACCTTCCATTTCTCTTGTAAAAAGACTGTCTTTACCATTCTCCTTTCTGCTGAGTATTTCCAGTAAAGCACTCACCTACTTTCTACCTAAGAATTACTCAGCTGCCATATGCTAACCCCAGACCATCAGGTTTACTCGTAATATTCTTCTGCTAATTTCTCCACTACTGAGTAGACGGGCAGAACCTCAGCAACACACTTACTATCTGCCATATAAACTCACACTCAAAGTAACATTTCAGAACCAGAGAGATCAAGTGTGTCTCGAGGAGACGGTGCCACTTTAAAACCAGTCCAATGCTAAAGCCCGATCTGCTCTGAAAGATTTACCAGACACCTATTACCAGCAAAATAAGTGCAATTTATATTAGGAAAAATGTACTTTTACTGCTGTAGTTTATGCAGTTCTGTCAGCAAATAACAGGCTATCCTCACAAAAACAATGGATTTTTTTGCTGGTGCAAAATAGTAATGCAGGAATAGATTTTTTTTTGTTTTTCTAACTGCACCCCTAGCAGCTCTCATCCTACTGGCAAATCTGCTTGTGTAGATTTAAGTTCAGTCTTTTGATATGGTTAGTCAAATTAATTTCCATGATTACGATCGTCTGCTATTCTCCTTGCTAAAGCCTGACACTCTAAATAACAATGAGGGAAATTATTTGCTGATTAACTTGTTTCCTTGCTCAGCAGAGTAACGGTATAGGGATTTAAGTCAGCTTTCCCCTCAAATCCAGATCCACCCCCTCTGCAATGGGATGAACCTTCTGCTACTCCGAGCACCTGAGAGTTAGGTACTTCTGCCTGAAGTACACAACATCCACACAGCTAACGAGGTATTGTGGGAATAACGAGGTAAGTGGGAACTTGCAAAGAGGGATTTGCTGGATCTGTGTTACTTATTAGATCTGCATCAGATACCTGTCTTGGAACAGCATGGCTTGCTCCACTGGCAAGGCTTACACCTCTCCATTGAGATGAGCGTCTCAGGTGACCAGTTGGGTTTAGGCACCTCATTTTTCGATGCCTGATTTGGAGCAAGTGAATCCCCTCCAGCTGAAACACGACTGTAAACAGCTCCTGAAGTGATGTGGCAGACAGTAGAAGGATATTCAAACTAAGCCTCACCTTTGTGCTGGCACTCTTGGCCAGCAATGAGAAATAATGCCATTCCTTCACCAGCTGGCAGAAAAAACTACTTTGGTGATGTGTGTAGAAAAAACGTGAACTTCCCTGGTGCCAGTTCTGCTTTCAACTTACTTGAGCAAGTTGCCGAGATTGAAGAGAGCTCGATTGTGCTGAGGGTTTAACTGAAGGGCCCGTCTGTAGTAGTCCTTTGCCTCCACCACGTCTTTGGTCAACGTCCCCAAGTTGTTGAGAGCGCTTGCGTGACGAGGGTACAGTCTAGGAAAAATGAAATACCAAGTCACAGACACTCCTTAACTGACAGATAAAGCTGAGGTCACTAATGTTGCCACCACTGCTGTTTGGCACTCGGTAAAGCAAAGGATGCAGCTGGAAACACTGTCTTCCCTTCATTTGCTGCAGGTCCTGATGGGATCCTGAGGAACCTTTTCACCTCCCGAAGAGACTGCGAATCAGATCTTCTCCTACAGTTCCTGTACGCCTCCAGGGCAAACGGGAACACCGAACAGCTTTGAAAGCCTATTTTACCCTTCACGCAAAAGGTAAAGTGACTAAAGCAGCTTGAATGTTTTTATTCAAAATGTTTCTCAAACAAGCAAGAACTGCTTTGTCAAAAACATATTTCCAGTGGAAACATATTTTGACATACACAGACACTAACACGACACTGTTTAAACTGATCTGCTTTCTTTTTGTTTTTTTAATATCAGTTTTCCACAATAAAAGTGATAATAGGAAAAGGAAACTTGAAATCAACAGTGCTTTCAGGACCAAGCAAAATGACAAAAAAAAATCTGGAAACAGACTGCTTAACAGTATGAATTCCCTAAGCTTCTAGTTGTATTTTTTTACCACTTGGTTCAGTTCTTTCAACTCATCTGTTGATCTTTACGTCGCCCTGTTTCAGTTATAACACTACGCACTGCGCCCAGTGCACCTGCTCAAATTCTCCACGAATTAAGCAGCACACCATGGTCCACTCCGTTGCTGAAATTCTCAAATTTGTTCTCCTACATTAATATTTTGGTTTGTAGGTCTTTCACCAGAGAACTCCAAAGGTGAAAGTGATCCAGGGCAAGATCTAGCTCTTGGAACCCTTTGTGCCATAGATGGGTGAAAACTGAGGTTCATGATGATAAAGAAATAAATCCGTGACAGTAACCCACAGAGGTCCCAGCCAAGCTGGGAGACCAGCTGCGTGAGAAGGTCTGATGCTCTGGTATGAACCAGCGCCCAGGTGCTTGCCCACAGAACTCCTCCAGAGGAGCATTGCATCTGCCGTAGGGAGGAAGCAGGTTAAGAAGGTCAGGGCTTCGGTTTGAGAAGATCTAGATGCAATTCCTGC